ATATTTAATGTGCAGTATTTAAAAAAAATGCTTACAGCACCTTAAAATGACCACAATGCGACTTATTAGTAAAGCTTTCCGAACATATAGGCGATTCCTTTCAAACTGAGTAACCCTCTAGTCTGTACTCAACCAAAGCTTTCTGGATGGAGAGTAGAGAATCTTCGCGTAGGTTTTGCATCCTGCTAGGGTTTGACATCTTGACCCCACACCCACCTGCATTGTGCTTATATTCTATTCATTCAAATGCTGCAGTGCTCTCGAATGAGTTTTTACATTGGTAATGCTTTTGACATTTCGTTGTTATTACCGTTTCAGGAGGTGGAACAACGGCTTTTTGTTCGTGGGCGGTTCATCTTAACAATTCATTTCAAGTGGTTCGCTGTTGTGTTCTCCAGTGCGCAATTACCCTACATATCGCTTAGATCACGTCTTATCGTGGTGGTCTCATAAATGCACTCTCGCTTTTTCTCTCTCTATTATGCACACAGTCCATATTGGTTGTTTACTCTGCTCTGCACACTCACCAGTTTGCCATGGATGCATCTGGCTTGCGTGCCTCATTCTAGTCCACAGGTCACTACAGAGCCATGCCTTAAACATAAACACATACGCTTATGCACACCTGCACATACACAAGCATTCACTCTACGCTTACACACATAAACACAGTCGTTGCCCTTAGACTTCAGACTGGTCAAGAGTGAAGCAGTGCATCAGAGCAGACTGGAATTCCAGGCAAAGCGGGAAACAGATCTCTGTGTTTCTCGTCCCAGTGAGCGGCAGATAGTTTGCTCTTTTACGTCAAAGGCTCATTCATGTGAAGGTGGTGTGGAGCGATCGATGTGCACATGTTGACAGATAAAAAAAAGCAGCTAAAAATAAACCATCCGCAGCAAAATCCCTCCACCACCTCACAGCCGCAGGGACAAACATGTGAATTTTTGTTCTCTTCCTGGTACAACAAGAGAGAAAACAGGATAAGAGGAGGATGAACGTAGAACAAAGATTGAGGAAATGTCACAGAAACCAGCCCTTTCTGTTTAGCAGTAACACCTACAACACGCTGCAGGAGGGTAAATGTGTATGTTTAAAAGTCGCAGGTATGAGGTTATTGCATACATTTAAAAGCATAGTTGCTCTTAAAATGTAAGAGTTTAAAGGGAAAAATGGGAGTTGTTTGAGTTTAGCAATCTTAAGTGAATTCCTATGGGATTTCTTGATCCGGAGCCTGGTAATGGCATTAATGGGCAGTCCAGTGGGTAACAATAACAATACTTAGAGCTGAAAAACAATAGGCATTCACCATGCAGCCTTAAAAGTGTAGTTTACCCAAAAATGAAAATTCCATCATCATTTACTCACCCTCAATATGGAAGCCCATTTTTGCCATGCAAAAATAAAAATGAGAAATTGCGACTTCTTATCTCTTTCTTTATCTATTTTCTATTTTCTATCGATTTTATCTCTTTATCTACTTTTTTCAAGGAACATATCTCACAATTCAGACAAAAAGACCAAACTGTGAGATATTAACTCAGAATTGTAGTATATAAATTCTGAGAAAAAAAGTCAAAATTTCAAGTTTATATCTCACAATTACCAACCCCTCGAATTATGGGGGGTGCTTTGGCAATAGAATATAAAATAATAAAATGGTAATTGTGACTTTCGTCCTTCTGTGGAATACAAAAGAAGATATTTTGAAGACATTTACATTGTCATTTTGGCAGACGCTTTTATCCAAATTTACAAATGAGGAGAACAAAAGAAGCAATCAGAGCAACAAGAGAGCAACGGTATACAAGTCTCAGTTGGTCTAGCACAGTACACATTCAAAGTTTTTTTTTTTATATTAATAAATTAAATTAAATAAATTTGACCAAAATGAATAGAATAGAATAGAATAGAATAGAATAGAATAAGTAAGTGCTAGTATTAATTGGTCAGGTGAAGAATGTTGGTAACCAAGCAGTTTTGGTGACCATTGACTGACATTGTCAAAAAAAACCACATTTCTGAAAATATCCTCTTTTATGTTTTACAGAAGAAACCTGTAACAATACCTGTAACAACTTCAGGGGGAAAAACAAGATGGTCCTCACTGCAGAACACAAGATCCAGGGGGCGAGGTTGGATCCAGATCCAACTCCTCCCACCTTACATATACCTAAACCTACCCGTCTCAACCCCCTGATCCTTAAACCCACCCATCTCCACCCCTAAACCTACCATCTCCACCCCCTAGCTGTTGATCCAACCACGCCCCCTGGATCTTTGTTCTGCAGTGAGGGGCTACTGGAAAAAACAGCAGTTTGGATGGCACCCTTGGGAACTGTGGAAAATTTCACAATATTAAAAGTGGAAACATAAAACTTCAAAATGATCTATCACTATTTTTTTTTTTTTTTACTGATTTGCAAAATGAACATGCCTAAACCCCCAATCTATCCCCCCAATCAACTTCTACTAATAATATTGCGATAAAGCATAAAATGTAGCTATAAATTACTTGAAAATTAAAAATTGTCAATCCAAATCTTCAGGAGACTGCTCCAGCATCACGTCTCCATGGAGACCCATCTCAGTCCTAACAGTTATGACTCACCATTAGCACATTGAATAAAAGCATGAAAACATCTGTGTCGGTCAGTCCTCCCAGAAGCATCTGTGACGTTATTCCTCACTGAGATTATGGACATCCATTGTGTAGTAGCCTCTCTCGCTATAATAAAAACACACTGAGGTTATTGCACTATTTCACACAAACAAATGTGAAAACAACTTCCTTTCCCTCATATTTTGATATGCTTTACTTACATAAATATATTTACATGCATCCACTCCTAAATATAGGTTACATTACATAGCCTATAATGTTTGCTTGTTATTTATTTATTTGTTTTTTTCTGTCTTGGGTTTAAAAGCGTCCAGAGAAAGAGGTAATTAGGTAACGTTAGTCACAACTGCCGTATAGGCCTAACTACACATGTCGTGTTATTCAAATTACAAACGGAATTAAAATAAGGAAGTCATTATTTGGACTACACTTGTGTCTATTTTCAAATGTGCTCTTTTGCATTTTATTTTTTAGCTGTTTTCCTGTCTTCCTTCTCTGTTGTGTTCTTGGTTGGTGTTGGAGTGCAGAGAGCCGGCTGTTGTCATGGCGACACGCAGGTTACTAGTTAGCAGGTTAGCGTGCTCTGGAAGCAAATTGAAACACCGCATCCAATTTAAGCTCCCTAACGCCAAACCAGTCTCTCAAACACGCGCAAATCTCCCAGCGTGACTTTGCTGAGGTGAGCGGGACCCGCGGGACCACGCAATTCCCATGCATATTCATGGCTGCGGCTGTCAAACAAGGCCAAAACAGGACAGACATCTATATAGATACATGTCTGTGAGAAATCCTTGTGCAAGTAGCCTATCAGAGTGGTAACGCGTTTTAATAACGCAGCAGTGAGATCTCGAACTAAAGTCGGACCTCCTCACCTGACAGGAAGTTGGTCTTGAGCTCAAAAGGACGAGAAAGAAATGGCGGGGAGAGAAAGTTTCTATATTTGTAAGCGTCAAACAGTGAATTAATTGTGAGTCACTGCTTTGTGTGAAGTCATACTGGAAATGTCATCTCCCGTCGCTCACTCACTCCCACCCCCAGCAGAAAGGCAGGAAATGAAAGGACAGGGAAAGTGAGGGATAGAATGGTGTTATTGACGGGGAGCAGGATTATAGCACTGGAGATAATGTCACTGCATACACATTATGTCAGCATAAGCTTCAATATTGTGACCAATGACGACAGGAGTTACTGCAGATGAACTGCAGCTAGAGCCACAGCTCATTGCATCCCTCTTGTGGTCAGTATGCGACATGATCGAAGAATGATATTCAAGGTTCAGTTGGTAAGAATGCTGATGGCTATGCAAATCAACTCAGATAATTCTGCCCCTACAAGGCAAATAGATATAGAATATCTGTAGACCATAGATATTGCATATGACAGCTTATAGACAATTATAAGATATTATATATATACAGCAGTCAACATCTGAAGTGGATCAAAAAATTTCATCAAAGAACGCATTTTGGTTTAAGGTTTTAGGACAACTTTGATAAAAGGTTTTGATCCACTTCAAAAGATAAAAGGTTTTGATCCGCCTATGTAAATAAGCAAATATATTTATTTAAAATGTAATTTATTTACTCGTTTATTTATATTATTAGTTTTTTTACTTCCATCTATCCATATTCCAAACCGTTTATTCTAGGATCACAGTTTTTGCCTGAATATAAATAATAAATAAATAAATAAATGAAATAAGTAACAATAATACATACATTTTTACATACATTTTAAAGGAATTATTACTTTTATTTAGCATATTTTTAAAGACATTATTTTATTTAAATTGATCAAAAGTGGCAGCAAAGACATTTATAATGTTACAAAATATTGTTTTTTTTTTAAATAAATGTTGTTCCTTTGAACTTTCTATTCATAAAAGAATCCTAATGTATTAAGGTTTGTACAAAAATAAAGCAGCAAAACTGTTTTCAGCATTGATAATAATATTTCTTGAGCGCCAAACCTGCATTGGGATTTCTCACATATGATAGGCCTACTGAAGACTTTAAAAATATTAAAATAGAAAACAGTTATTTTAAATTATAATAATACTTAACAATATTATTGTTTTTACTGTATTTTTAATCTGATAAATGCACACTTGGTGAGCATGAGAAACTTCTTTCTTTTTTCAAACATTAAAAACATTAAAAATCTTACCGACCCCAAACTTTTGAACAGCATAGTGCACTTAAATAAAACTAAGTGCTTTAAGAATTATTGGATTGGAAGAATTATTGGATAAATTATTGGAAGTAAAAACGTCTGTCTAGCCTATGATTTAGACAAGATGATCAAATCATCAGCAATCGCTCAAAGATGTGGTTACCAAGGCAACTGAAGTGCGTTTCAGACATCATCCTCTGCACAACTTCCAAGAGCGTCAAGCCGTGCGCTATAACACAAGTAATATATGAAATAGCAGGCAGGCGTGTAAAGTCCTGCGTCTACATCAGCAGAGGCTTCGAGTGAACTGTATAGAGAGAAGGAACATCAGATGCAATTTTGAAGTTAGGTTACAAAACCCCTCAAGCAATAAGGATCTTGTGATTCTTGTCCAAAATACCCACTCATAAAAACACGCCCTTTCCTCTGGCTTTCTGGAGACGTGGCGCAGGTGAGTGACACTTTTTCCATACTATTAACAGCGCGTGATGCTGTTGCTGCAGCACCATAACTTAGTGGCAAATGCATTTTAAAATGGCATCATGTCTAGATTATGGTTTGCATGACGTCTAGAGGAGTTTCCCACTCTTATACAGGTTTCATCTTATAGCTTGTTATTATCACGAGGTTAGTGGTTCTAGAGCTCTAAACATGATGTGTTTCTGTCAGCTAAGTGGGAATTTAAGCTTGTTAATCATCATGCAGTCATATAACAGATTGTTTTTACAGTGGGGGATGCTGTGCTTTCGTAAGGCAGGCAAAGACCACATGATACTTAAATACACGAGACTGAAGGTCTTTATCTGCATAATGTGTTTACTAAAGGTTTTATAAGGCATCACGCGACTATCCAAACCACAACGTGCATTTTAAAATGGCATCATGTCTAGATTATGGTTTGCATGACGTCTAGAGGAGTTTCCCACTCTTATACAGGTTTCATCTTATAGCTTGTTATTATCACGAGGTTAGTGGTTCTAGAGCTCTAAACATGATGTGTTTCTGTCAGCTAAGTGGGAATTTAAGCTTGTTAATCATCATGCAGTCATATAACAGATTGTTTTTACAGTGGGGGATGCTGTGCTTTCGTAAGGCAGGCAAAGACCACATGATACTTAAACACACGAGACTGAAGGTCTTTATCTGCATAATGTGTTTACTAAAGGTTTTATAAGGCATCACGCGACTATCCAAACCACAACGTGAAGACTTATTACACATTCATGCAGCTTCTTCACTGCCAATATTAAAATCACATTTCATGTTAAATAATATTGCAAATATAGAACGAAAAGTAAAAACTATTTTGTACTTATGTGTCTCATTGAACTTATGGTCTATATCTAGAACATGTATGGGTCAAATTTGTCTATTTTACATGAAGAAAGCAAATCTACTATCACTATAATTCATGAAATATTTAATTAGCATAAGAGGTGGAGTCTTGTACATCCCTGAAAGGTTTTCCAGTTTTCTCTTTCTTGTCTGGCAGGTGATGGAGGGTATGCCGGTGAGCATGGGTGGCTTGCGGACGCTGCCGTGGTACGTGGCGGGCTCTCAGGTGCTGGGGGTGGCATGTGTGGTGATCACAGGCGTGTGGATGGGACATTACCGTGGAGGCTACGCCTGGGACGGCTCCACACAAGAGTTTAACGTCCACCCTCTCTGTATGGTCCTCAGCCTGGTCTTCCTCTATGGAGATGGTAAGAATTAAGTGTAAAGATAACATATGTATTGTTTTATCCTTATTTACTTGAAGTTTGCAAAAAGAAAATAAAAGAAGAGTTGCAGTTCAGGAAATACCCAAGACTACTGATATAGTTTTTCTGGGCTTTCAGGTTTACAGCCCTGAATATTGAATATTGAATAGATGTATTTTCTCTAGCCACAACAGCTTAGAAAATGAATAATTTTTCCATTTAATCATTTTTTAATACCTTGAAATTATTGATTAACCAAGCTTTCCTCTGCTGAGTTGGTAACATGAACAAATGTTGCCATTATTTGACGATCAACCCATTTATTATTTCACTCAAACTGTATTTAAATCTACAGTAGTGGGTTTAAATTGTGGTTAAAATGTTCAATATATAAAAAGTATTTCATATATATATATATATATATATATATTTGTTGTATATATATATGTTGTGTGTATATATATTGTAAAAATAAATCAATATCAAATCAGAATATACTAGATTTAATGTTGTAATATTATTATTATTATTATTGTTTATGATTCATCAGCTGCTTATGGAGACCAAGAGCTTCAATGTAATGGTCTAATAAGACATCTGTGTGTCTTCTGTCTCTTAGCCTTCAGAGTGTGTGTATGTGACTCTTTGCTTTCAATAAAACACACACAATACTGAACAGGAAGGGCCAGCTAATGCTATTATCGGAGCTAATATCGGATTTGCTCCCTGATATATATGAATCAATATGGGCTGGGATACTTCACGGTTGGTTTTTTAAACAGAGATCAAGCCCTGCTGAGAGTCGGTATTGTGTGCTTTTTTCTATTAATCAGTAACTGCTGTAGGCAAGGTCACAGGACAAAGGAAAAATAGTAAGAGAGATATTATTAAAGCATAATCACAGTCAATTCATGGTTCTTCCATCTGGACACTTAAAACACTCAACAGAGACAGATACTGAGCTAATATCTTTAACAGTGCTCGTCTGATTGAAAACGCCCTTGTCATGGCAATTCAATTAGGACATTATACCTGAAATGTCACTGGCCTATTAGAGGTTTAGCTGTCCCAAAAAGCAGCAGTAAAAACAGCCCAGAGGGCATCTGTCTGCTTGTAGAAAGGCCAAAAAACACGTTATTCATCAGGTTACAGCATCTGTAGAATTTCAAACCTGACGCAGGCTGTTTTTGGTCCTGTACCTTTAAGACTTTTCTATTTCTTCTGTTACTTTATACTCCTAATGCTTCTATGATTGGATAATTTTGCGTGTGAAAATATGACTTGATTAGTTCTTGGTTCTTTCTCTGCCGCAGCTGTTCTGGTTTATCGTGTCTTTAGAAACGAGACTAAACGCTCAGTGAAAATTCTCCACGCTCTGCTGCATATGATGGCTCTTATCATCAGTATTGTGGGTAAGTCCAGCATGAGTTTGCTAGCAGGTTAGAAGAAACAGTAAATTACATTTGGCAGCACTGTTGTTTTGCTGGGTATTTGTTCAGCAAGACAGATTTTAGCTGTAATTCTCAATTGCTGCGGTCACAATCATTTCCCATGTCTAATGTGCCATCTGAACCGTTAAATAAGGGGAAAACTAACATTTCCCTCAGATAAACACATGTATTTTAATAATCGCAAGGCACAGGATAACTAGATTTGCATTTTCAGAGGTCAACACCAATACGTACAAATGCATTCAGCAGTTTGGCGTCAGCAAGATTTTTTCCATTTCTTAATAAATACTTTTTTTTTTTTAACTTTCCGTTAAATAATCCTATTAAGCCATACAGCTGTTTTCAACATTGATAATAAAAAGAAATGTTTCTTGAGCAGCAAATTAGAATGATTTCTGAAGGATCATGTGACACTGAAGACTGCTGAAAAATCAGTATTTGCATCACAGGAATAAATTATATTTAAAAATATATTAATATAGAAAACGGCTACTTCAAATTATAATAAAACTATATTATATATACTGAATAATATCTCCTTCTTTCTCTCTTCTCAGGTCTGGTGGCTGTATTTGACTTCCATTCGGCAGCTAAGATCCCTCATATGTATTCTCTGCACAGCTGGTGTGGCATGCTCACTTTTGTGCTGTTTTTCATACAGGTAATTTGCAGTCATTTCATTTTGACCAGCATTTGCATTAAAACATCTTCCTTCTTCCTTATTTGAACGACTGAGTGTATGTGGTTTGAAAGCACTTTGCTCTGCTTTTAGCAAACCCTCTTGTGGATGATCACACCCATTACACTGCTAACATCACTATTAACATCAGGATATTGCCTTTAGTGTTTGCATTAGTTTTTATTGGCAATGGAACACCAGCCTTGAAACATGCTAGTTCACTTCATACTCTACATACAGTTGAAAAGTAGAAATAAAAATATGAATAAAAATATAAAATATTTCCTTTAAATGTAGTTTTATATTATATTATATAGAAAATAAAATTATATTAAATAAATCAGATTTTCACTTCTGTATAGACTTTATTTTTTTCATTATTTGAGAAAACCTGATTTTCAAACATTTTTAAGAGGCCAGTAAAATACATCATGTAAAGTCATCTTTGGAGTGACTGCTTCTTCTCTCATTTCCTCCAGTGGTTACTGGGACTGGGATTTTTCCTTTTCCCATGGGCCTCTGCTCAGTTGAGGAGCTGGTATCTCCCGCTGCACGTCTTCTTCGGCCTGTTGCTGCTGGCCATGTCCGTGGGATCCTGTCTGCTGGGAATCACAGAGAAACTGCTCTTCAGTATCATGTGAGTGTCAGTGAATGTATCTGAAAAATATAGCTTTAAAGGGGTCATATGATGCGATTTCAAGTTTTCCTTTCTCTTTGGAGTGTTACAAGCTGATTAAACAACTGATGTCACTAAGCTGAGGTAAAAATTTTGGACGGGAGGAAAGCAATGAGTCACCATGTGAATGAGTCTTTCAGTGAATATTAATGATATTTGGCTTCTTTTCTACATCTCTCTGTTTGGCATCAAATGCTGGTTTTATTCAAGATGATATTCCTCATGTGCCCATTTACTGCAGAAATCATGAATACTGTACTTAAATTCAGTGTACTACACATGATTATTAACTTCATTAGTCTATAAATAAACACTCTTTTCACATGTGGGTGACTTTTGGCAGATAAACGTCCCACACATTGACCTAACTTGCAAATCTTTATGAAATAATGTTGTTTCAGTTAAATTGGATCTGAAGCTCGTTATTTAAGATTCGCAAGCTACTACAGTGCTTTTCTATTCATCAATGACAATTTTATGGCACATTTCTTATTCTCAGGGAAACTTACTCCAGGTTTACTGGTGAGGGGGTCCTGGCAAACATTTTAGGCTTGTTGCTGGTGTGCTTTGGGGTCGTGGTGGGTTACGTGGTGACGAGAGATGATTTTAGGCGACCACCGAATCCCGAGGAGGAGGCTCTATCTGTGCACTTTAAGACCCTGTCGGAAGGAGAAATCCCCAGTTCTCCTTAATGTCTTAATGCACTCCAAAAATGGCCTTTCTGAACTTCACGCCTTTCTACCTGTGTCCTAGCAAACCTGTCAGCCACTTCCTCCTTTTGCAGTCTTCTCGTTTTGTATTCCCCCATACTTAACATTAATGTTACTAAGCAACAGACAGTAATTAAATGTTATATATATTTTTAAAGTAACTTCTAATTTTGCCAAACCAAATTAGCATGAAAAAATAAGAAAGTTGTATATACTGTGTCTTTAAATGTATTAGATTCAGATAGTACTTTCTTGTGCCTTAACATTTATTTGTACCAGACTGTAATGAAAAACTAAAATACTCTACAATGATAATTATTATTGTTTAAAATCAAAGGGCACAGCACTACATCAGTGAATGTTTATTCTCCACATTTGCCATGTAGGATTTTCAACATTTGTTTTATATTAGAGACTAATCTTTTCATTATATGCAGAAACCTGCTTTATGCTGTTTTTATATGAAAATATGTTACAGCTCTGCCTGCACAAATTACTGAAAAATACTTGAAAATAATGTTGGATTGTTAAGACCAAAATCTCTAATATCCAAGATCTGAAAAAAAAAAAAATTTGTTTGTTATTTGTTATCCAAACATTATCCATCCCATGTGCTGGTTATTAAAATCAGCTTGAAGAGGAGAGATACTGTTTTACACTGTTTTGTGTGTGTATACTGTAAACACACACACAGTCTGTCTTTCCATCTGAAAGAGTATGTAATGATCTGTAGGTGCCCTTGTACTGTAATTTTGTGTTGGCATGTTTGTATTGTGTAGTGGCAATATTTTTACCATGTTTACCATATCAGTAAGTAATGTTCATAAGGCTTGCTTTATACGTTCAATGTGATTTTAAGCTAAATAAATTCATGAGATATATGACTCAATGAAGTTTGACTCAATGGAAAGTTATTTCAGCTTGATTTCTTTGAAGTGGTATTTTTTTTTTAAATAAGTTCATTATTTCCCTCATACATACAGATGATTGTACAGTTTACAATCGTGTAACTGGATAAAAAGTCCTCATTCACGTTTCTGATTTTCCATCCCAGAAAACATCACAGCTCACATTTACAGATAATTTACAGAGAATCCTCCTTTGCAAACCCAGTTCTAAACAAAATCTAAATATTAAAGCAAAATATATACAAAACCTCAATTTCATCTGCTCTTTTTTTTTTTTTTGTCTAATAAGGGAAACAAGGAAATATATTGTGCCACAGTCTTTTCCCTCATACATAAAACCACACACATACACACACTCAGGTTTGTGTATTAGCAGAGAGCATGCGTTCTAGTTCAGCACATTATTTACAGCCATTTTACATTTTGGTCATACAAAAGGAAAACAAATAGTTAAATACAAACACTGTTGTACAGTAAGCAGTATTCCAGGTCAACTCTGAGTGCACCTCATATAACTTTAAAATGAGAAAATAATAATAATAATTAAAACACTGCAAAAATACCTGCTCTTTTTCAACAGCAGTTGAACATTGATTAGTAAAGTCAGATCCAGTGAGCGAATCTGACTTGTCACCATCTTCCCACCAAGACATACGTAAAAAAGAGTGCCTGACCTACCAATAGTGTTAGTTCAATGGCGATACATGACACAGGCTTTGACATCAAGTCAGGTTTCCCATATTTGAAAGCAAGTACTCACAGTTTAAAACAAACAGGGAAAATGTTCTGAAGGCATGTTTCAGTGCACAAATAAACTCTCAAAACATAATGAATGAGAGCATGTGAATTCAGAGGCTGCAAAAAAAAAAGTTTTCTCCACGCATACCTTCCCATGAGAAAAGTTTCTTTGGAAAAGACAATTTCCGTTTTAGTGGTGTGACTACTTTAGAGCGAGTAAATTAACAGCTGACCACCTGAATGCTACTTCCCTTGAGCAGATATGAAATTATTAACCAAACACTACAGATATTTGCATTGCATTAAAGGTAGCAATCCTGTTGACCTTTATAACCTGTTGACAAAAAATAAAAATGCCCAGAAAATTCTAAAAAATATTTAACATTGCTGAGTGCATGTCAACTCAAGGCAAACTGAAAACACAACTGCACTGAAATGTAGGTGTATATATATTTATACAAACATAACTTAATTTTAAATAATAGTTTTTTGCTTTAGCAATATTGATCTGGAATATTTTAGGTACATTTTCAACTCAAGACACAACAAAATTCTCAGGGATATTACTGGTTTGAGTGGGGACATTAGTGAGGACATCTGGTCCAGGGGCCATGCTCAGCAATGTGTCCATGACTGGCATTGAGCAGCCACCCTCTCAGAAAGGTACAGAAAAGTAGAAGGTTGGTGTACAGCAGTTACACAGGCCTACTAGAACTCCAATGGGTCCTGATACTTCCATTTTTGTGTCCAGAGCAAATATAGATGCATTTGATTTGTACATGCTAGATTCACATCAGTAAAACGAAGAGATAAGATGGTCAACATGTTAGATATTCCTCGAGAATGTTCTAATAAATCTTGCACACCGTTTCTTTATTCTTACACGTTAGACTCCACAAAGGGTCTCTTTGGTTTAATGGGTGAGGTTGGGCCTTGCCTTTCATTTCGAGACATCTGCCTAAACTCATTGTCCTGGTAGGCCTGGGAAACTGGCAGAGTCCGTGCCACTTTCACATCCGGGTATGTGGGAACCTGGCTAACTCGGCTCATAGCGTCCGCCCGGTCCCGTGTCATACCAGGGGAGTTGGTGTAGAAATCGTCATCCATGAGGTGGCCATTGTGAGCGTTGTTGGTGCGGTTGTAGTAGGCGATATGACTGAGGGGTGCTGCTTGTTGCCCATAGCCCATGTTACTAGGGGAAGTAGCTGGACTGTTCACCACCGTATCCAGAGAAGAAACGGTCCAGGGTCGAGAACCCGAAGAGGACGATGCCAGCGAAGGCTGCTGCTGAAGGTACTGCTGAGTCCGTGCGGTCTTGTCGATAATTCCCATGAAAGGTGTAGTGCGGGAGCGAAGTGCTTCTCCTGGATATGTTCCACCCACCACCCGGAAGTCTGTGCCTTGTGGGGGTGACACCGGTGAAAGGTCATCATGGTAGCCGCCTTCATAGGAAAGCTTTAGAGGGATCTCCATTTGCTGCGCAGAAGCCGACACCCTGAACCCTGGGCCTAGGTTAGCAGCAGAACCTGCCACCAAACTGTTGCTGGATGGAGAGAAGCGTAGACCCGTACTGTGGGAGTGAATAAGGGGGCGTGGAGCTGGTGGGTGCTGTTTGGGTTCAGCACTATTCGCGCTGACTGGACGTCGGTGGGCTTGAAGGTTCTCTGGTGAACCCAGAGTCACCTGTCGCTCCATTTCATGAGGCGAGACTGGATAGTAGGCGGTCGACTGACTGCGGCTGATCTGTGGTGTCTGAGCGTAACGGACTCCTCCGGGATTGGGTCTGTATGCAGAGGAGGGCCTCTGAGGGAGCTCGTCCTCCACAAGGCCAGGATCCATGCTGATGGCACGCTGGTACAAGGCCCCTGCACTCAGACTGCCCTGAGGTTGAAGTGAGGAAGAGTACCCTCCATCCCCAAGCTCATCCATGTCTCCTGGGCAGCGGGCGCTCATCGAGTGAGCAATCTGACTGTATGCACTACTACCCAGTACGACACTGGAGTGCACCGCAGTGCTGGGCTGGTTGGTGCGGATGATCTGTGCCTTGGCTGGCTGCAACCACTGGGTCTGTTGTGATGGCTGGGAAGTCTGTTGGGAAAATTGGAAAGAACGTTGGCTGCTCATCTTGGACAGAGGGGACTTAGGTCGCCCTGCAAGCTGGTCCTGCTGGTACCGTCCTGCAGAGGCGGACTGGGGACGGTACATGGCGACTCCCTCAGAGGTGGGGCTGGCACGATACTGTGGTCCACGGCGTAACGGTGATGGCGGTGGGCTGAAGTGGTAGGAGGCCTGATGAGGGGGACTGGGCCGGAAGTGAGAGCTCTGGTGCGTTGGTGAGAGCGATGGAGAGGGGGACTGGTAGCCTTGCCTGGTAGGAGAGGACATTGAAGGGGGACTGGGGCGAAAATCATACGCTTGGCCCAAGTAGGGTGAATCGTGATGGATCGGAGATGGAGGCATGTTTTGAATGACAGGAAGTCCCGATGGTATAGCGTGGGGCTCAGCAGGAACACCAAGTGGTAGGCCGTCCAAATCCCGCTCGAGGTAATCATCGTCCTCCTCAAACAAGTCCTGGACAGGCTCCATGTCTGAAATGTGGGGCTCCACTGGAGGAGGCGGAACCATGGATGGGGCTTGATCGCGGGGAGGGGAAGGAGGCGGATCCAGCTCCTGTTGTTGTTCAACTTGATGACACTCTTCTTCTACACGTTGCAGCAGGCGCTGGATCTCGCGGTTATTGGGACATAGACGCCCAGCTTCACTCAGGTCCTCCAGGGCTGCGTGGAATTGCCTACAGTGAGGGAGACCAAGAATGAGAGAGAGTAGGAAGGTGGAATATGTCAGTAGGAAAAGAGAAAGGAAGAAATATGCTTGTTAACCAATGAACTGACTGATAAAGACTAAGAAATGACCATTGCTAAAGGACTATTCAGAGTTCAATGCAAGTCGATTGTCAATTACCTGCTGTCAATTACCACACAGAATAACTATGATTCATTCCCCATTTTGTAAAAACAAACAAAAATCATTCTTGCACTTACAGTAGAAGTCTATGAGTTAAGGACCTTTAAGAGGATAAATGGAAACGTTGTTTTAAACGTACTGTATAGCCAACAAGACTAATAATGAGACTAATGATGGTACATTTTACAAACCCTGTCAGTGCAAAGATATTTTCTCTAAACTCCTGGTATGACTGTGTAAAGTCAGTAAAACCTAAAAAACTCCAGACTTCTGATGTTTTGCTCTTCTGGGATGCCCACAGATTTTCATTGTAAAAGTCAAAGTTAACTCAATTTAATTGAACCCGGAACATTCGTTAGAAATTTTACCTATTGATCAAAATCATAGACCCAAAAAAATCTGGTTCTCCAAAACCAAGCAAGTTGATATAAGTGTTCTGGGCACAGAGAGTCAAAGTAAACAAAATTGTGGGGGGAGGAAAAGGAATAAAATATGAATGATGGACATTCTAAAGAAAAATAATCTGATTGGTCAACAAAACATGAAGTATGAAGAACAGGTCTAATCCTGCTGTTGACATCTAGTGATGCAGAGGTCAAGGGGCCTAAATTGACTTCTATCTTGAAGCTCTAGCATAGCACTATGTCAACCAATCGAAATTTTGGGTCATGATCTGTCAGCACTTTATCTGTGCTAGAGACAGAATGTGTTTTAAAGGCTGTCCTGGTTACCTGCTGCTGCGCTTGGCACGGGCTCGTGCGTAATAGGCTTCATAGGATTTGGGTTTCAACTCTAGTGCCTTGGAGGCAAACTCCTCCGCCATCCCAAAGTCCTGCAAGCAACAACAGGACCAACAGTCATACACTGAGCTGTACATGAGGTCAGAGGGAAGACACACACACGTGTGCATGCAGATATGCACACAAACACTGACACGCACACATCCACACAGACTCATCACTTATGCAGACACACGCAGGTTGAACATGAACATGTCACATTTATATGAGGATGTGAACACTGATTATTACAAACATAAACACAAAAAATATATATTTTGAGCACCATTAGTGCAAATATGATAAACTGACATACAATTATGGAAATGCTTGTACATACTTATAAAATGTATTGACACACACATACAAATATATGCTCTACAGGGACAGTGGGACGATGCAGTGTGACAGCTCAATCCTCTTCCTGTACTAAGCCTAACAGTTAAACAAATCCAACAAATGTCAGATAAACCTGATGAACCAACAAAACAAACTGAAACAAGGATGAGAGCATGATGGCAAGAAAAACTACAGAATGAGCGGAGTATATTTGGAGATCTCAGGAGGATTTCTCCATCCAGAGGATGGAGGTTTGAAAATCCAAATGCAAAATGTTCTTTGGGTGAGATCAAAATGAGAAATAATGTAGCCATAAAGGAATAAATAAAAAGTGAAGATCAAAATATCTCTTAATACATCACTTCTGTCTTTACAATCCTTGATCTGCAACTACTTTGGTCTTTTTGAAGTGTTTTCAAAAGAAATTAAGAACACAGACCAAATGCAAAACTAATGCATGCAGTTTGTTGGTTAGGTGGTTGTATTTGCATGGATGCTTGTAAACAAGGAGATTTACAGTATATTAGTGGTCAAAAGATATGGGCTTGTGTCAATATTTAGCTACAGTGGAGGGTGGCTAATGGCCAATGTAATACTGATATCATGGACTTTAGTTAGGGTAGACATCAAATGTAATATAACGCAATAACGTGTATAGTGTCTTTCAATGTCTTAAAGGGATAGTTCACCCAAAAATGAAAATTATATCATTAATTACTCACCCTCATGTCGTTCCAAACCCGTTCATCTTCGGAACACAAATTAAGATATTTTTGATGAAATCCGAGAGCTTTCTGACCCTCCATAAACAGCAAGGGTCCTACCACGATTTAGGCACAGAAACACAGTAAGGGTTCTGAAGTTGTGTTCTGAAGATGAACGAAGGTCTTACGGGTTTGGAATGACATGAGGGTTAATGATAATTAATGATATCATTTTCATTTTTGGATGAACTATCCCTTTAATTCACTTCATTTTTTTAATATATGGATGTTTTTCATATAACATTTTTGATTTTCATGATATATGCTGCCTACCCTAAATAAGGTATACCACAAATACTGTCTAATATGATATACTGTATGCAATTATAAATATTTAAATTTAAAAATAACACACATAATTGCAAAAAAATTATTGCTAAAAATACACAATATTTAAAAGTTGCATAATTCACTGAATTAAAAATATTTAAATATAAAACAGAAAAATGTTAATTAATCGAATTATCTTATCAAAATATTTATGTTGACGACATAAATAGCACAAGGTCAACCAAACACAGTTATCAGTGGATGCTAAGACGACGTGCCAGTCAATCAGGGCAATCTCAATGCTTACTCATAATGTGAGTAAAGAGAGACAGAAAGAAGAGGGATTTATGAAACCGAGTGCTTTGGACTCACATTCATTTTCCTCCGGCAGCGGGAGAGGTTGAGCAGCAGAGAAACTTTGAGCTCACGGAAGGTCTTCAGGTCCTCTGTGAAACCCTCTCGTGGGAACTTCTTCAGGGCATACTGGTACCGTTGGGTGGCTTCTTTCACCTTTCCTTTCTGGATCAGCAAGACATTCTTACTTTTGAATTTGTTCATAGTATAATATATATTTATGACACACACACACACACACACACACTTCTTTGGCTGAATATTCAAAATGCAACTCACCTTGTAGAATCCATCTCCTTCCTCTATCAGTTTGCTCAGCAGAACAATCATAATATCAGGTTTTGATGTGGCCATTGCCCATGTTGCAGGACCTGAGTGCAAAAAAAGGAGCAAAGCTAAGAGTCAGCACAGATTGACAGTCCGTATGGGCACAAACTAGTTTGGTGATCTCTGAGGATCACAAAGTAACGAGCAGGCTGCCAGGATATCTTGCTTAAAAGGAGGCAAAGTCTATGAACAACTTTTGGATATCACAAAACGCCAGACAGAAAAACAAGAAACAAATCACGAGCAGCTTGGCTGTTTATACCTTGCCGAAATTGACATCTGTTTATACTGGTAATAAAAACATTGAGTCCAACAGCTACTGAACTTGCAGTCAGCATGCTTGAGCTCTCTGTGGAGAGCCTGAATAGAGGTCATGTGTTTCTACTGGTTTGGACTGAATGTACAGTGGAGGGAAGGTGGGAATAAGAGATTGATAGTGGTCTAATAGAGCTGTAAATTTGGCCATGGGCAGCCAGTTGCAGTATGCAGGCAGGCAGTGATTTAATGCAATTCATGCAAGGCACAGTTGAGGACACGCTAGGAACCACAGGATTAGGTACCAAACAACAGCCCGAAAAAGCCAAACTGACAGCAACTGTGGAAAAAAATGAAGGCATTTGTTCACACAGGATGCATTCTTGCAATCAAAAACAGCTAGATGCGATGCAGAATACACAACAGAGCCGGACAGTATTCATAAACACGTATTTAACTTCAACCAGTATCTTAAAAGTCTGAGCTAATGGCACAAGGTGCTAAAAAACAGCAAGATGTGTTGCAACAATCGAAGATGTCCATTGTAATAAAGCAGAATAGAACAGAATGCAGGTGTCTTGAGATGCCTTTTAAAACTACAGCATCTTAAACATGTGACGTTCATGGCACAGGATGCTGAAAATTAGCACAGCGGTCAAAGATGTCTATCGCAATGTGGTTTCATGAGCAGCATCTTAAAACGCAACGCTAATGGCGCAAAAAGCTGCACAGCAACACTGAAAGTCGTCCATTACAGTACAACAACACAAAGGAATTGAACAAAATACAGGCATCTCACGATGATTTTTAGCTTCTTTTAACTTGACACAGTATCTTAAAATGTGACACCAATGGCGCAAGATGCTGAAAAAACAAGCATCGCAACATTAAAAGATCTCAATAACGCAACAGAGTACGACCAAATGCATGCATCTCGATTCGTTTTTAACTTTTTTCAACTTGGCACAGCATAATAAATGCGACAACTAATAGAACTAAATAGAAAATCTCGAGATGAGTTTTAAAAAAAATTCTTTTAGACTGATACAACATATTAAAATGCAATCGTAATGGTGCAAGATGCTACAAAAAGCAAGAAGCATCACAACATTAAAAGATGTCCATCTCAATACGACAGTGCAATGGAATACAACCAAATACAGGAATCTCAAGATAAGTTTTTAACTTCTTTTAACTTGATACAACATTTTGAAATTGTGACTTTGAAGACATTGCAGCGGTCAAAGATGACTCTATGGCACATGATTACATAGAAAAACAGTTGCAAAACAGTGCAAGAATGCATTCTGTGTTAACGCTCCCCAAAACCACAGAACACTCAGCATGTAGAAACATTCTGCAGCATCATGCAAAAACGCAAGACTGGTTTTCCTACATGCAGCCATGCAAGCAAAAAATGAACGGAAAGAATCAACATCTACCATCAGAATTTTGCAGTATAAATTTACACAAAATCCACCCATGTTTATGGCTGATAGCAGCTCTATTCATCATAGCCAAGAATGATATGAAGATTAAATGCCTTTCACATCGGGGCACCCAAAACACTAACAGACCCGATCAATGGAGAAGGGACCACACAGGTAACGAGATGGAGGAACACAGTCAAAAATGGCAGATGGGGCGCACAAAGGTCTGTGTTTTACCTCGGGCACGGGTGGGGAGTGTCTGACATCCTGGTTACGAGGAGAGAAGTGGTGGGAAGGGTCACGAGTGAAAGGGTGACAGGTTATTGGGGCAGAGTGAAGTATCCGTATGAGACGGAGCAAAGGTTTATGGAAAACAGAAAACAGGGAGAATGTGATAGAGAGTCAAGGGAAGAGAACAAGAGAGATTGATAGTTGGTGGATAGGGGTGAAAGAGTGAGGTGAAAGGAAGAACAAGGAAGATCAGCCGTGAGAAGCCGTGGCAAGCAGCAACATTAGCAAAAGCAACAAGTCCATCCTGATCAGCTGCAGATCAGTGGAGTTCTGCAGGTCGGTGAAGAGCACACGAGAAGGAGGGTTAGACTCGGATGACTGAGCTCACAGGGAGGGGTATGAAGGAGAAAGACATCTACATGTCAAGCTAATTTCATGTGATCTTCATGATACAGTATATCCAATGCATCTGCTTTTTATGGTTCTAATGCTCTTCTTCAAGGTATAAGCATTAGAATTTATACTGCGCTCCATTCAAATGTTAATGTGGGATAGTCCTATTGAATGTACGACATACACTCAAAAGTTTGGTGTCAGTACATTAAAAAAAAAAAAATAAGGAAATGATTGCTTTTATTCTGTAAGAATGACCTTGAGGAATGTTTTCAACATTGATAATAATACAAATGTTACTTGAATGTTTAAATTGATTTCTGAAGGATCATGTGACACTGAAGACTGGAGTAATGATGAAAGGTACAGAATTATATGAGGGTGAGTAAATTTTCATGTTTGGGTGAACTAACCCTTTAAGGTGTATATTTTTAAAGGGGACATCAGATGCCCATTTTCCACAAGTTGATATGACAATGAGGCTCCTGTGAAATAAGTTAGAAAAGCAGGAAAGAAAGGATTGATTGGGAGTTTCCTTTCATTTAAATGACTAATATATTCCTTTACATTTATACCTACTATTTTTTTATACTTATTAAGCTACAGCAACTAATCTAGTGTGTGATCAGTACAGCTGTACCTTGAGCCAGCAGGAACTCGGCCGTACCCAGGTGTCCCTCAGACGCAGCCATCATTAGAGGAGTTCGTCCCTGTTTATCTGCCATGTTCACATCAGCGCCGTGATTCAGCAACAAGTCCACTATCTGCACAACCAACACCGACATCTCAGACTAAAACAAAGACCACATGTGCAAAGTAAAAATGACTTCTGAGATGTTGGAGGAGCCCACCTGCCAGTGTCCCTGCCGCACGGCGCTGAAGAGTGGCACGATGCCCCTGCGGTTGGGCTGAGCCACAGCGGCACCCTGCTCCAGTAAAAGACGACACACGTCCAGCTTCCCCCGACCCGCTGCTGCTGTCAGAGCTGAGATACAGAGAGAGACTCTTTAGTGAGCAATCTGTGCACTCATATTTACATGAAAACACAGAGTACAGGTTGTCCTGTACCTGTTTCACCCCACAGTGTGTCAAAGTTATTTATCTCAGCTCGTTCCTCCTCTTCCTCATCTTTCTCAGGTAGGTCAAGCAGGTAGGATACAATCTGTGAATGAATCAGAATTATAATCAAAATAAGCTTCATTGTCAAGTACGTGTACACACACTATGAATTTGTCTTGGTGACAAGAGCTTCCAGTGCAGAAGTAGTACAGGCATAGTACAGATACATAGGGATAAAGGCAATTTAACACAATGATTAAAAAAAATGTAAAGGCAAAAAATTTAAATATAATACAATACAATGGCACAAATCTAGAAATTAAACATTACATTTATTAAATTAAACAATTACATATGTACTGATAAACTATATATATATATGTATATATATATACTTTACATTGTAGCAAAGTGTCATTTCTTCAGTGTTGTCACATGAAAAGATATAATAAAATATTTACAAAAAAGTGAGGGGTGTACTCACTTCTGTCAGATACTGTATATATACACACGTGTGTGTCAAACACACATTATTTTAAAGTTATAATTCTAGTTAGCTTGAATTCATTTTCATTAGTTTTCACACTAAGATTTTTCATTTTAATTTAGTTGTACCATTTTTTTTATTTTTGCCTTTGTATTACTAAAGTTAATGCAAATTGAGATATTAACGATATTATTTATTTGTAATATTTTATATTCTATAATAAATATAAAATTCTAAAGAATACCATACATGTTAAAACAAGTTTTCTCTGATAAATAGAAAGTTCAAAAAACACATTTAAAATATAAATCTTGCATTATTACATTATAACATTCTACATGCCATTACTGATGCTTCTGATCAATTTAATGTTTAATGTGTCCTGAATAAAAGTATTAATTTCTTTAATTAATCAATTTTAAAATAAAATACATTTAAAATAAAAACAAAACAAAACACAAAACAAAACAAAATAAAACAAAACAATCTCTTACCTCTGTATAGCCCATACTGGCAGCTGCAATGAGGGCCTGCTGTACCGCATGGCTCTTGCTGAAGGATCCAGCCTGCTGTCCGTCTGTGTTCCACTCGCACTGCACCAGATACTTCACCACCTCTAGATGACCCCGCAGACCCGCGTGGACCAGCGCACACTGACCGTTCTTATCCAGGTGATCCACCTGAACAGAAACATAAGGAGAGAGAGACAGAGATGAAACTTTGACTGATAATTCAAAACCTACAGCCACTACCCTGCATTCTTATGGGTTATCCATCTCTAGCTAAACATGGCATGGCTGACCTTGGCTTTCTTACTGCAGAGAGCAGTGATGACAGGTAGGTGACCCGCGGCCGCTGCGTAGCTGAGGGGAGTGAGTCCGCTCTCTGAAACGCCATCCACATACGCCCCAAACTCCAGCAGCAGAGCCACAGTCTCCAGGTAGCCCAGGTGAGCGTGGACACACAGGATGGGGGCGTTATTCAACACCTCTGTACGATAGTTCATGTTAGCTCCGCCCATAATCAGCAGCCGAGATACCTGGAGGAAGAGAGGAAGATGGGGATATGAAGGAGTAGACGGAATAAAAAAACAATTAAGAGTCAAAATGTTTTTCAGAGTTAAGAAATAAAGACAGATTTACAAAGATTAACAATCATGCTATATATAATAGTTTACTGAATGAACAATTTCTTGCTGATAAATATTACAGAAATAAATATAACTACAAAAAAATAAAAAGATAAAATAACTAGAAAAATATATACTACCATTCAAAAGCTCAGGGACACTTTTTTAAAAAAGAAATCAATACTTTTATTCAGCAAAGATGCATTAAATTGATCAAAATAAATAAATACTAAATAAATAGTAAATACTTTTATTACTTAAGTATTAATACTAAAAGAAAACATTCCTATTTCAAATAAATGCAGGCAAATTAATTTAAAAATTTTAAATAATCTTAAACTAAAACCATTCATTTAAATCATTTAAAAATATATTAAAGGAAACACAAGTTATTTTCAATTGTTATAATATGTCACAATATTAATGTTTTTACTGTTCTTTTGCCCAAATAAATGGAACATTGGTGATAATAAGATACTTTTTTCCCCAAAAGTCTAACAAACCCAAAGTTTTGAAATGTCATGTATGAAGAAATGTAAAAAAATTTGGAAACAGACAGTTTGCTAAACTGTTTTATTATTAATTATGTAATTACGTATTTTTAATTTGTAATTATGTAATTATGTATTTTTAATTCTTTTAATTATCTCAATTTTAAATTGAGAGGTTTAAGAGACTTAATTTCTTCTTGTTTATGATAAAAAAAAAATGTTACTAATTCCAAAGTTTTGAATGGTAGTATACTATACACTCACTGTAGAAATATCTAAGATTTTCCTTAGAAAAACTATTTTTCCAGGCCTGGAAATCACTTTAAATTGTAGATGTTTTTAGGTTTTCTATGACTGTGGGAAATCAGTTTTTATTTTTATACCTTGATGTTTGGAGTGTAGAGGTTTCTCAATGAAGCCAAAGCTGCAGAGAGTCCTTCTGTACTGTAGGACACCCACAGCCCCTGCAGAACTGACGAGGAAACCCCAACCTTCTTACTCAGGCCCTGCATCCAAGAGACAAAGTGCTTTATTAACAACAATGGAAATGTTACATAAATCTGTTTCAAAAGCATTTATATACTGCTGTAGTCAAGTTTATGCTCTCAATTTAGCAACATCCAAACTTTTATAGTTGTTATAGTAAGCCTAACCTTAAAGATGTGAGCTTTGAGAATGTGGTGGCCAAGTTCGAGGGTCTGCTGTCGATTAAGTTTACTGTCTTGCCGTGAAAACCAGAAAGCAAGCAGTGTGTGGCCACTCCTAAGGAATCAAAGAGACAAGATGGGGTATAAGATACGTAGCTATATTTCTCAGGCATTGACAATGTTCACATCTGATTTTACTTTAGGATATTCAACAAGAAAAAATGCTTTTACTTTTTATGAAATATACACATTTTGACCCCTCGAACTTCTCACCTGGGTTCGCAGAGGAACTTGGTCTTCTCTCCATCCTCTCTCCAGATGAGCCACTCTCTGAAGGAGGGGTGGATGAACATGCGCGTGCCATCACGTCTTTTCACCAGGAAGGGCGACAGGAGTTCAGACCTCTGCTGGAAATCCTCCCAGTCCATGGCCGCTCCACGCACCATGCCGGCGTTCACGGCACTGTAGGCCTGCTCATCAGTTAACGGGTGTAGAGAAGCCACGGCCACGTTAAGCAGCGGAAGAACGCGCTCGAATGACGACTGAGTTGGGAAACGCATGTTCAGCTGCAACAGGTAAACCTCGGCCAGATTCACCGGAACCACCTGTGCACACAAACATCATGCTTACAGCTTTTAATAAAAACAATAAATACATGCTAATAAGATGAAACATATTAATCCTTTTAGGGCCACATTTACTAACAGCTTGCACCAGTGCAAACTGTCTTTTGGCGTTAAAATAGTACTGTCAGGATTTACTAAAGACGCGCAGTGAAGAATTAGCGCTGAAAAGGCGTGGACAGTTATTTTTGCGCCTGACCTTATTGAATATGCATTTGTAGGAGTTTCCCTTTCAGACGCAAAATTAATGGGAGGAGAGTATTCAAAATGAATCACGCAACGTGATTTACTAACGTTTGCGCTCATCAAATTGCTGGTATTTGCGCCATTATTTAACGCCCAAAAAAGCACGTCATAAAGCAGGTGGTAATTTGCGCTGCTCTTGGTAAATTGCGCTGGTCATTATGGAAATTATCTGGCTGCGTCTGTGTTCTTTAATGTGCGCATTGTCAGTAAATCAAACGCAGAATTTTCCCTCCCATCGGCGCTTTTATGGAATTGCGCTCTATAACGCTAATTTGCCCTGTTTAGTATATATCTGGCCCTTAGACTTGAAAAATATATATTTTACATTTTCTTTCAAATTAAATGTTCTTTTCAAATTCTTTCAAATTTCTTTCAAAAACATCTAAAAGTGTTTCATTCACTCTATTACTTTTTTCTTAAAATACAGAACCAAAATGTGACCCTGGAGCACAAAACCAGTCTTAAGTCGCTGGGGTATATTTGTAGCAATAGCCAAAAAAGCATTGTATGGGTCAAAATGATTGATTTTTCTTTTATGCCAAAAATCATTAGGATATTAAGTAAAGATCATGTTCCATAAAGATATTTTGTAAATTTCCTAATGTAAATATATCAAAACTTAATTTCCATTCTACATGCCATTACTGATGCTTCTGATCAATTTAATGTTTAATGTGTCCTGAATAAAAGTATTAATTTCTTTAATTAATCAATTTTAAAATAAAATACATTTAAAATAAAAACAAAACAAAACACAAAACAAAACAAAATAAAACAAAACAATCTCTTACCTCTGTATAGCCCATACTGGCAGCTGCAATGAGGGCCTGCTGTACCGCATGGCTCTTGCTGAAGGATCCAGCCTGCTGTCCGTCTGTGTTCCACTCGCACTGCACCAGATACTTCACCACCTCTAGATGACCCCGCAGACCCGCGTGGACCAGCGCACACTGACCGTTCTTATCCAGGTGATCCACCTGAACAGAAACATAAGGAGAGAGAGACAGAGATGAAACTTTGACTGATAATTCAAAACCTACAGCCACTACCCTGCATTCTTATGGGTTATCCATCTCTAGCTAAACATGGCATGGCTGACCTTGGCTTTCTTACTGCAGAGAGCAGTGATGACAGGTAGGTGACCCGCGGCCGCTGCGTAGCTGAGGGGAGTGAGTCCGCTCTCTGAAACGCCATCCACATACGCCCCAAACTCCAGCAGCAGAGCCACAGTCTCCAGGTAGCCCAGGTGAGCGTGGACACACAGGATGGGGGCGTTATTCAACACCTCTGTACGATAGTTCATGTTAGCTCCGCCCATAATCAGCAGCCGAGATACCTGGAGGAAGAGAGGAAGATGGGGATATGAAGGAGTAGACGGAATAAAAAAACAATTAAGAGTCAAAATGTTTTTCAGAGTTAAGAAATAAAGACAGATTTACAAAGATTAACAATCATGCTATATATAATAGTTTACTGAATGAACAATTTCTTGCTGATAAATATTACAGAAATAAATATAACTACAAAAAAATAAAAAGATAAAATAACTAGAAAAATATATACTACCATTCAAAAGCTCAGGGACACTTTTTTAAAAAAGAAATCAATACTTTTATTCAGCAAAGATGCATTAAATTGATCAAAATAAATAAATACTAAATAAATAGTAAATACTTTTATTACTTAAGTATTAATACTAAAAGAAAACATTCCTATTTCAAATAAATGCAGGCAAATTAATTTAAAAATTTTAAATAATCTTAAACTAAAACCATTCATTTAAATCATTTAAAAATATATTAAAGGAAACACAAGTTATTTTCAATTGTTATAATATGTCACAATATTAATGTTTTTACTGTTCTTTTGCCCAAATAAATGGAACATTGGTGATAATAAGATACTTTTTTCCCCAAAAGTCTAACAAACCCAAAGTTTTGAAATGTCATGTATGAAGAAATGTAAAAAAATTTGGAAACAGACAGTTTGCTAAACTGTTTTATTATTAATTATGTAATTACGTATTTTTAATTTGTAATTATGTAATTATGTATTTTTAATTCTTTTAATTATCTCAATTTTAAATTGAGAGGTTTAAGAGACTTAATTTCTTCTTGTTTATGATAAAAAAAAAATGTTACTAATTCCAAAGTTTTGAATGGTAGTATACTATACACTCACTGTAGAAATATCTAAGATTTTCCTTAGAAAAACTATTTTTCCAGGCCTGGAAATCACTTTAAATTGTAGATGTTTTTAGGTTTTCTATGACTGTGGGAAATCAGTTTTTATTTTTATACCTTGATGTTTGGAGTGTAGAGGTTTCTCAATGAAGCCAAAGCTGCAGAGAGCCCTTCTGTACTGTAGGACACCCACAGCCCCTGCAGAACTGACGAGGAAACCCCAACCTTCTTACTCAGGCCCTGCATCCAAGAGACAAAGTGCTTTATTAACAACAATGGAAATGTTACATAAATCTGTTTCAAAAGCATTTATATACTGCTGTAGTCAAGTTTATGCTCTCAATTTAGCAACATCCAAACTTTTATAGTTGTTATAGTAAGCCTAACCTTAAAGATGTGAGCTTTGAGAATGTGGTGGCCAAGTTCGAGGGTCTGCTGTCGATTAAGTTTACTGTCTTGCCGTGAAAACCAGAAAGCAAGCAGTGTGTGGCCACTCCTAAGGAATCAAAGAGACAAGATGGGGTATAAGATACGTAGCTATATTTCTCAGGCATTGACAATGTTCACATCTGATTTTACTTTAGGATATTCAACAAGAAAAAATGCTTTTACTTTTTATGAAATATACACATTTTGACCCCTCGAACTTCTCACCTGGGTTCGCAGAGGAACTTGGTCTTCTCTCCATCCTCTCTCCAGATGAGCCACTCTCTGAAGGAGGGGTGGATGAACATGCGCGTGCCATCACGTCTTTTCACCAGGAAGGGCGACAGGAGTTCAGACCTCTGCTGGAAATCCTCCCAGTCCATGGCCGCTCCACGCACCATGCCGGCGTTCACGGCACTGTAGGCCTGCTCATCAGTTAACGGGTGTAGAGAAGCCACGGCCACGTTAAGCAGCGGAAGAACGCGCTCGAATGACGACTGAGTTGGGAAACGCATGTTCAGCTGCAACAGGTAAACCTCGGCCAGATTCACCGGAACCACCTGTGCACACAAACATCATGCTTACAGCTTTTAATAAAAACAATAAATACATGCTAATAAGATGAAACATATTAATCCTTTTAGGGCCACATTTACTAACAGCTTGCACCAGTGCAAACTGTCTTTTGGCGTTAAAATAGTACTGTCAGGATTTACTAAAGACGCGCAGTGAAGAATTAAACAATAAATAATTACACCACATGCATACCTATGAAAGGCTACATTAAAATAATAATAAAATCATACCACATATAACTCTTAAAGCTAAAATAGAATAAAAATATGTAAAGTAAAAATAACAAAACATACATAATGAAAAGCTATACTAGAAAAAAGTAAAAATACAAAAAATGCTCTAATTAGTTTGAATGTTTCTTTTATTTTTTAAATTGACTTTACTTTACTTTAATTTAATTAGTTAATAAAGGAGGCATCTGTGTCGATTGACCCCTGACCTTGAAGCTGGAGCTTTTGAGCACCAGGTAACCCTTCTCAATGAGGTCCAGCGTGAGCTTCAGGTAGAGATAGGAGCCCCGGCTCAGACTTTTCAGATGAGCGCTGAGTTTGGTGAAGGCTGCGTTGTCCAGCTTGCCGTTGAGCGCCACGTTGTTCTGGATCTCCTGGCTGGAGTGAAGCCGGTGCAGGATGTAGCCCTGCAAGTCCGAGTCAATCGCATCACTTTCCTCCAGCCGATCCAGAGAGATCCGGTGGAACAGCAACGGACGAGTTATATCCTGAGACGGAGAGAGAAAATGAGTAAAAAAGTAAAGAGGATGGGTGGATGTATGGACAGATAGATGGAATACAGACCTGCAGTGTCGTTCTGACAGTGACCACCAGTTTAAGCCAGGGAGGGAAACGCTCGATGGTTTTGCACAGGAAGGAAACAATGGTTTCTCCGTAATCTGGTTTATGGAACTCCGCCTCATTCAACCCATCAATCAGGATGATGAGGTTCTCCTCACACGCGATCTTCCTCTCTGTAAACATTGCATGTGTTCAACATTACATATATGTCAGCACATGTACGCACAGACGCGCAGTGAAGAATTAGCGCTGAAAAGGCGTGGACAGTTATTTTTGCGCCTGACCTTATTGAATATGCATTTGTAGGAGTTTCCCTTTCAGACGCAAAATTAATGGGAGGAGAGTATTCAAAATGAATCACGCAACGTGATTTACTAACGTTTGCGCTCATCAAATTGCTGGTATTTGCGCCATTATTTAACGCCCAAAAAAGCACGTCATAAAGCAGGTGGTAATTTGCGCTGCTCTTGGTAAATTGCGCTGGTCATTATGGAAATTATCTGGCTGCGTCTGTGTTCTTTAATGTGCGCATTGTCAGTAAATCAAACGCAGAATTTTCCCTCCCATCGGCGCTTTTATGGAATTGCGCTCTATAACGCTAATTTGCCCTGTTTAGTATATATCTGGCCCTTAGACTTGAAAAATATATATTTTACATTTTCTTTCAAATTGCTGGAGCTTTTGAGCACCAGGTAACCCTTCTCAATGAGGTCCAGCGTGAGCTTCAGGTAGAGATAGGAGCCCCGGCTCAGACTTTTCAGATGAGCGCTGAGTTTGGTGAAGGCTGCGTTGTCCAGCTTGCCGTTGAGCGCCACGTTGTTCTGGATCTCCTGGCTGGAGTGAAGCCGGTGCAGGATGTAGCCCTGCAAGTCCGAGTCAATCGCATCACTTTCCTCCAGCCGATCCAGAGAGATCCGGTGGAACAGCAACGGACGAGTTATATCCTGAGACGGAGAGAGAAAATGAGTAAAAAAGTAAAGAGGATGGGTGGATGTATGGACAGATAGATGGAATACAGACCTGCAGTGTCGTTCTGACAGTGACCACCAGTTTAAGCCAGGGAGGGAAACGCTCGATGGTTTTGCACAGGAAGGAAACAATGGTTTCTCCGTAATCTGGTTTATGGAACTCCGCCTCATTCAACCCATCAATCAGGATGATGAGGTTCTCCTCACACGCGATCTTCCTCTCTGTAAACATTGCATGTGTTCAACATTACATATATGTCAGCACATGTACGCACAGCATAAGAGCGCGCACGATTTGCACACCTCGATGCAGGATGTCCAGAGGTTCCAGCAGGCCCCTGCGGAAAGCGTTGGAAGGGTCCTGGACGCAGGCGCGCAGGCTGAGGGTGCTCTGCAGGTGCGGCTGGCGGAGCAGCAGCTCTCGGTAGGCCTGCATCTGAGGAGCTCTGCACAACAACGCTGCCACGTTATGCACAAACTCAGGGACCAGGCAGGTGTACGCGTTGTCGGCCTGACAGTAATGGTACGCCACCACCTGCACATGAGAGAGCAGATATAAGCTGGCAAACATTTACATTCACAGCACAGCTTGGGTTGGAAAACTTGATTTTTACTTTTGCTTATTAGCATTCAGTTTTAGTTACTGAATTTGATTGGTACATCAAATATTGTTGCAAGAGTGCTGATATTTCAATCAATGATGATTTAGAAAACAGATATTTCGAAAACTCTGAACAACACTACTACAGTGTTGTTCAGAGACACACAATGCTTCATTGGTGAAGCAAGAACAATAACTTTAATATTGTGTACAGAATACAAACTACTATTCCAAATGTTCAGTAGTAAGAGTCAGATTTTTTCCCCAAAGAAATGAATACTTTTATTCAGAAAAGATGCACTGAAGTGATCAAAGGTGATAGTAAATACTTAAATTATAAAAAAAAAAATATATATATTTTAAATAAATGTTGTTCTTCTGAACTTTCTAACCATCAAAGATTCCTGAAAAAGGCATTGTGTCACAGTTTCCACAAAAATGTTAAGCAGCAAATCTGTTTTCAACTTTGATAAGAAGTTTCTTGAGCTGCAAATCAGCATGCATCAGGATCATGCAACACTGAAGCCTGGAGTAATGACTGATGAAAATTCAGCGTTGCATCACAGGAATAAATTACATTTTAACATATATTAAAATATAAAACAGTTATATTAAATTGTAATAATATTTCACAGTTTTTACTGTATTTTTAATTAATTAAACGCAGCCTTGGTGAACATAAGAGGCTTCTTTCAAAAACAAAAATGTTTTGAACATTTTGAACAGTAGCGTAAGGTACTTAACATTAATTTCTTGTTTATTAAACTGTTATGTAAAAGCAAATGTAATAATCTAGTCAAAATGGATTTTAACCACTTTATAATATATGATGGTTGTTCATTATTACAGCATCAGGCACTACTCCTGTATGTATGCCAAACACTCAGTCACACATTCAACAGAGTAAAGGTGCCCAGTACATCTAGACGCTCCTGCTAAATGTAGGTTCAGACAAAGACATAGACAGAAAAAGCAAAGAAATGTTTCCAGTCTCAGGGATTTAGTGCAGGAACTGCTTTCAGCTCCAAAAAACACAATGAATATTAAAACTAGAGAAAGATTCAAAGCTCAGGAGTTTTGATGTGATGAAGGGGTTTTATTAATGCATAAAACATTATGGAGTTTGAGTGCATCGATGGCCTTATTCCAATATTCTAAGACTGCTGCTTCCCTGGATTCACTTCATCTCGCAGTACGTGTGTGTGTGTGTGTGTGTTCAAAAGCTTGTCATCATTAGCAATGCAGACTCTGAGTATATCTAATGGCTGTGCTGGGAGACTCTGCGCATATAAATATTTGATAAGGCAACAGAGCTGCAATAAACCTTTGTGCTTAAAAGAATAGAAAGAAAAGGAAAGCACCGAGAGAGAGCGAGACAAGGAGCAAATTAATAAAAGAAGGAGACAAAGGAAGAAATGGAGAGACAGAGAGATAATAAATCAGTAAAAGAGAAGAGGAGAGAGGGAGATTGAATGGCAGGCTGGATATATGCCCGCTCCGTTGATTATGTTGGTATTAGTTGGCACCTGAGAAGCCAGCCTTCTGAGCACCTCCTCCTGGCGTCTCCTCATCTCGGGCGTTCCAGGGCAGCTGCTCCCACCGACCAGAGTGCCGTGAGCGGACTGAGGCTGGCTCAAGGGCAGTGTGTCGCCATCTGAGAGGAAGACATGGCATGCATGTGATGTGAGCCTTGTCATAAACTGAGACAAAATGGTTTTGACATTTTAAGGGCTGAAGATATTTGTTCCCTTTGATTTGTTCCTAGGAATGAAAATTCTGTCATTATTTGCTGACCCTCAAGTCATTCAAACCTGTAGTGTATAATTTTATATTGTGTGATTTTATTTCTTTATGAGTTTCTATATCCATGGCCATAAAATTGTCTTGACATTATGTGACGTAATATGTATTTTATTCACTGTGACCAATGTGTGGAGTCTTGTGATTCTAAAATCATAATGAATATTATATCCATAATTGCAAATTCTCATCAGTTGTAGCTAATTAAATGTGTTGCAGGATTTTAATATTCAGAATTTCAAAGCACTTACTAATAAAATATGTATAAAAAACTGTGAGATGTAAGAAGTTGTGAAAGTCTTTATTATTATTATTTTTTTGTATATAAAATTTGCTAATTCATGTATATTTATAATGAATTATACACACACAAACACATAAAATACATTCTAGATTATGAAAAAAAAATGCATTTAAATTATAATAAAAACATATTTTCCATTTTGCAGTTAACATGTCTATTACGCTTTTTTTTAAAAACGCCTAAAAACACCTAGCTAGTCTTCTAAAGCAATTTTTTGTAAGAGGCAGACTGGAATTTAAGTTATTTGAAGAGTTAGCATGAACTAGCAAATTCTTTGATGAAGGTCTTTCAGAAAGTGCTGAAAGTTTCAGGTTTGTTTCTTAGAATGTAATGCAAGACTCATATTGACGACCTTTATGGTGTTTTTTGTTTGTTTGTTTTGTCCTTTCTGAGCTTGAAAGATGTGGTGTGATGGGAAAGAGCTGTGAAGTAACTCGTTTTGTGTTTCACAGACAAATGAACAGGTTTGAAGTCACATCGCAATGGTCAATAAATAATGACTAAATTATTTGATTTTGCTACTATCAATTTTTCTGTTAGAAGCTTATTAGATCGTAAGGAAACGTATTCACAGTTAACATATTCATTCGTCTGAATGAATCCACTCACGTTTTGGTGAGGCGTGTGGACTGTCAGAGGTGATCGGTCTCATGCGGTTGCCGTGGCAGCTGAGAGCCACCAAGCGAGAGATGATGGCCGTCTTGCCGAAGCCAACGTTGCCAACAATAACCACACCTTGATTGGCTGAGGACTCGCTGCTGCGCAGACACGCGTCCACTTCCTGGAACAGCCAGTCTCGGCCGGTGTAAACCGCATCGGGGGTCAGACTGGGCACCTCGAAGAGAAGCGGCTTCAGGGCGATGTCCGGTGGCCGGTATGGAGCAAAGCGCACTGCATCATGGGAAACATTAGGAAATGCTGTCAATGAAACAGGTTTTATACAAACATACACATACATACTGTATATTTATCCTTTCAAAGCCTCTTTTTCCTCTTCTTACAGAGATGTTATCCATCCATTCATTTCCAAATGAAAACCTCCTCACAATGCAATAATCATTTTTAACCAGCAGAAGGAGATGCTTTGTCTGGAAAAGGCCAGAACTGGCAGCTTACGCAAGCTGGAGCTGCAGTGTGAAACACCATGAATCAATGGTCGTCAACAGGGTGCCTCGACCCATTAATGCATGGCAGAAAACACATCTGAAATAACAGATCGGCCTCCATGCATCAAAAACAGGCGTATCTGTCAAATTTATTGCCACCATGCACAAAGCAAAATGTATATTCATTACCATATTAATCCACCACATACGCTTGCAATAAATCATAATAGAGATCCTTAATATTAATTAAAATAATCCTCATCTAATATTCATATTCAGTCGTAAAGTCTTCATTATTCTTATACGTTTCATACGTATTATCATTAATCCCAATTACTGATAATATTCAAGGCAAGTTTCATGTCAAAGCAGGACAGAGATATTGGGAGGAAATCTTCAGTGCAATTAGCATAAATTATGTACAATTTCCTGACTGTATAGGAATATCCTGCAACAAGTGTGATGGAGCATAGTATGAGGTTATTTATCCCTCCATTTGCATGTGGACTATTAATTAGCCTGACAACATGTGAATTAATTATCTGGTCATTAGCATAAAGGGGTGGGCGGAGTTATATGGGGCGAGGTTCTAGCAGACACTTTAGCAAAAAGGGCAAGAAACAGAGACAAAGAAGGAGAGAGATAGAAACCAGGGCAGCCGAGCAGTAATACGGCTATAAAGAACTAGAGACAGGGAGGTTGTAATAAAGATGAGGCAAAAAGAAAAGTGAACTCATTGCTTTTTTTAGTAGAATATATATATATATATAAAATCTCCTTTCATGGTACAGCTATAGCGGGTTCACATCCCCAAATGTTTTCCACTATTAAGCGCGATTATTACTAGTGGAAAACGCTTTTAATGCCTTCTGAAAGAGTACTATACTTATACATGGAAGAACCTGCTTGTAATTGCGGTCAAATTATGCCATTATCTACATTGTGGTAGAATTACTATCTATAGTATTACGTTCGGATACCTCATGCCTGATGTACGGTTTGAGCATCACATCACTATGAACACTTTTAACAAAATATAACAATGCGTTTCCACATTCATCAACTAACATTGCAAATCTGGCAAAGTTTTTTGTTTTACATTTTCATTTAAAGTGCCCCTATTATGGGTAATGAAAGGTTCATATTTTGGTTAAAAAAGCGGCACCTAGTGGCAAAGAATGAATCTGCATTTTCATTCTGACCAACGCGAAAAGACCAACAAGTGGCTGGGCAATATGCGACTCTTTCTTTTGAGAGACAATAACTTTATACACGGCGCACTTTCAGATTTAAAACTTTGCAGGATGTTTTCATTCACTTAGAGCTGTGTTACACACTGCATGAAAGGTCATTTTCAAAAATCCATAATAGGGGCACTTTAAAAAATGCGCATTGATAACACTACATTTTGTGTTGTATGGCATTGAATTACATAATACTAGTTAATGCTACTGCATGCAGGTTTCTAATACACCGGCAGAGGAAATGACGGCCCATTTGACATCCTTCTCTTTTCTGCCTAATGTAATCAATCTCTCTATATTTTTTCCTCTTTTGCATAGAAACACTATCATGGATTTGTTCTTTTGCTTTTGGAGCAAATGGGAACACACAAATGATATTTGGGTTACACTTTATTTTAAGGTGTCCTTGTTATAGTGTAATTATACATTTAAGTATGGAGTAATATTAATTAACTACATGCACTTACTATATGTGGTTAGGATTAAGGTTTGGCTTAGGGTTACTTGTATGTAATTATGCATAATTAGTTGTTATTATGATAGTAAGTAGATGTAATAATTATAACAAGCAGTGTTGGGGGTAACGCATTACAAGTAACACGAGTTACGTAATCGGATTACTTTTTTTCAAGTAACTAGTAAAGTAACGCATTACTTTTTAATTTAAAAGAAAATATCTGAGTTACTTTTTCAAATAAGTAATGCCAGTTACTTTTTTTCCCATTTATTGATTGAAAGCTCTCCTGTCCCCTTGTTGAGAGAAATCGGGAGTAAGATGTTACTTTAGTTCTAGAATAAAAGTGAACATGCATTAATTCATCTCACTCACAAAAAAAACAACAAAAAAATCAGATTTAGTTTTCCTCAAAATTAATAAAAACAGTTCAAAGCAACTCAGAATATGACTCAAAGCTGCAATAATTAAATATGTTAAATAATACAAATATCCTTTATGCATTTAATCCCATTTTAGGACACCTTAAAATAAAGTGTTACCGATATTTGTTGTAGTTTTCGTTCACCATACTATAGAAGTTTACCCAACTATCATGACATCTGCTTCTGAGAACCCCAGGAATGTGAAAAGGGTGTATGAATAAGCACACAGATACAGTCTACCTCCACTGTTTTGTCACCTGTGCGATCATCCTGAAATATACAGGTTATTTGGTGAATTGTGACTCAAGCTATTGGAGTTCTGACTGAATCTGAGAGGAAACCCAGACCTCCGAGGCTCGCTCCCAGCCAGCATGATTTAGGATGTGTGGAGCCTTGACTGTGAGCTTTAGACAGCAGGCCAAGCTCTGACAGATGAGCCAGAGCTAATGCTAATAGGAAGTCAATACATCGATCTGGACAGGAGACAGATTATGGCACGGCAGTCCAAAGGGGAAACCGAGAACAACAGGACGAGGGGGGAGAGTGATCCGCAGAAGAGCTGCGGAGTGTGTTGAGGGTTTTAATGGGACATGCTGTGTGTAGCGGAGGGCAGATGTACGAGAGGCAAGACAGACACACACACACACACACACACACACACACACACACAGACGTCATTACATTGCAAAGGTTAATTTTAGAAGGGACATATTCTATTATTTTGTAGAATTCTATTTTTGTTTCCCCTAGAGTCCACTTATAATGTTAATCACCAAAATCAGTCATAATTGAGATTTAAATGACCATTTTCTACCCTCTCTCAGACTAAGCTGGCTATATTTCTACAGCACCTTATATGTAAATGACAGCTGTTATGATTGGCTTTTCACTTTGCGTGTAAAATGAGTAGCAACACCCCCAGCAAGCTGATATGACTGAATTTATGTTTTGCATGAAAAGACTGTTGATCTAAAGGCTTCTGGAGTTATGAAAATATATAATTGATGACTTTTTCCTTCTTTTTAAAAAAAATCTGGTTGGAGCAGGAAGTGAGAGAAAAGCAGCCAACAAGTATTCAATATAAGCTACATCTGAACCCCTTCAATACTATTTGAAAATACCTCATAAATCTGCTGAGCTGGAATCTAGACAAAGGATGGCTATTTAAAAAAAAAAATCAAATATAATTTTGTTCGGATTTACATTTTTTGGTCAATAAATAATTTCCATACTTATTTCTCTTTGTGTTATTATCTTACAAAGCTGCTTTATAGTTTGCTTCATAACTAATGAACTTTGCAATCACACTGCTATTGAACTAAATTGAGCTGATTAATGACACTTTTGTCTTTTTAGAGCTGCTTTACAGCTAAAATTGTATTTGTTTCATAATTGAATAACATTTAAACAATACTGCTATTTAAAGCTGCTTTGAAACAATCTGTATTGTATAAATTGCTATACAAATAAATGTGACTCGACTTAGACTTGACATAGAATGAGTAGGTCTGTCTACACTTGTGACTGGTAATATACACAGGGTGGTGGTGAAGTGAAAGGATTGAAGAGTGGACATTTAATAAATCTAGGAAAAATATACACACCTCTCATGTCAGCTTGTCCAGAACGGCTGGAACCGGAGTTTTGTCGTGGCATACGCAAAGACGTGCGCAGTGGAGCCTGTCTCCGCTCATCCAGATAAGCAAGATCCTCCAGGTGAGCTGAACTAGTGGCTGTGAAAGAGAGGGGGAATTCAGGCTACTTTTAATATTTAAAAAATATAGTTTAACATATTTTCAATATTAGATTAATATGAAATGTTTTATATTCTTTAAAATGACTATATATCATATATTATATTTAAAATATTCATGTCAATAAAGTACTTTGAAATTGAACACTGACATAAATTCTGAATTTAAATTGCAAATTGAGAAATAGAGTGAGAGAGAGTGATTGACAAACTCTTATTTAAACTCATGCCACCCACATACATATTCAACAGAGGGAGAATACACAACAATAACAGTGAAAAACAGAAACCATTTATTATGCATTTCCTCATTTCAGCAGCCAAGCAAATGAAGTGAAGCTATTAAAAAGAAGCAAACATATTCTGGCAAACCGGTCCCAGAAGGAGCTTGTTGTTCCAAAATCAGAGAAAGTTTTCAACAGCATTAATAAGTGTGCTGTCAGTTTAACTTCACCTGAAATTAATCAACTCTCAACTTCAGCTACGAAGTAAATCTAACATAGTATTTTTTGTTTAATAAACCAACTGCCGGTGTTTCCATTTATGGCTATCTTCAGAATACTGTATGAACATGTCAGAATACTGTACATTATGTCTAAGTATTATATGAAATATCAGTGTGCAGTATGCATACTGTATAATTATGAACAATTTTTATTCAACTTTTGGCAGTCGAGTCAATGAGTCAAGAAAGACACTGAAATTACACTTGATAATGTGTCCAGTTCATTTGTCTCATATTTACCATGGTAAAAATAATATAAGACTGTACCTGAATATACACTAAGTTAGTAAATGATTATAGAAGTAAAAACCATGTTTTTTGGCGGATTGGTTATCATTTGTATAACCACAGTTTTACTACATATACCATGGTTAAAATATGGTCAGTGTTGCAAAACAACAGTTAATTTGTGGTTTAACTGTATTAACCACGTTTATTTAGGTTTTATTTGTAGTAAAACCATGGTTAATTTTTGTAAGGGCACAAGTTTTTACTCAAAATGACTTGATACACATGCTACTCCAAGCTATTTTACAAGGCATTTCCTTAGAAAACAGTGATATTATGGGTACTATCAAAAACATGGTAATACCATGGTTCTATTTGTTGTTCGTGATGAGTCAAACCCTTTGATCAGAGCTTGTGTTTGCATAGCTTGTTGTTATTAGCTTTCATGAAAATGCCTGCATGAATTTTGAGCCCCTTTTTTCTTTGCTAATGAGGAGGAAAGTTCATGGCGGCTTGATACACAAGAATATTAAGAACACAGTGGGTGGCCACTGAATTGATCTCGCCTCAAAGCAGCTGGAGAGAGCTTTTGAAACTATTTAACAACAGCTAACATTATTGTGGCAGTGTTAGCACTGGTGTTATGGACAAGTGGCCACCATCAAAGCAAGGTGCAAGGTGCCACATCCTAAGGAAAGCCTTTCCTTCTGTACTAATGTGTTTAATCGAAGACAGATTTCAGAAAACCAGCCATGGCCCCATGGTACATGTGTACAAATGGCAACTTCCTGTTGGTTACATGTGGGGAACAACAGTTTAGTAATTTAAACCTCCCCTAAGAGAACATCACGTTTGAGCGGGAACTTTAGAGAACTGCAGCAGTGACGTCAAAACCTGGAAAACTAATTGGCCAGTGGTTCCTTTGAGATTTTCCTATTGGTTTTCATACAACTCAGGAGTAAAATAAGGTCTGTGGTAAACATAACTTGATGATACTTTGACGTTTTGCTCTACAACGTGAATTACACATACCTATACTGTAAAACACTCATTTTAAAGCAGTTACGTTTATTTTATAAAACGTATGTTTCTAATACGTAACTACATAAGAACGTTGAAAAAAACGTCAAAGTATCGTCAAGCTATGTTTACCACAGTTCTTATTTAAAAATATATATATATAAAAACCCTTAGGAAAATCTCGAAGGAACCAGTGTCGAAATAGTCTTCTGGGTTTTGACGTCACAGCTGCAGCACTCTATCAATGACAAAGTTTGCAAAAGTTGGGAAAGATGTCAAAATTCGGCAGCTGTATGTTACTACTGTAAATCCATAATAAATTAAGATCGAATCTCCGTCAGTGTAAAGACCTGTTCACACCAAAGATGATCATTATAAAGTTTTAATAATCAGAATAGTAAATTCCACACCACACAGTGATAAAACGATAACGACAAAGAGGAACGCTAATGTTGGAATCACTTACAGAGCAATTGTTTTCTAGCTGATGAACGATAAAAACATTGACCAATCAGAATTCACCCAATTGACCAAGCAGACTACATAACCGCACCATATGCTAAAAATAAACAGAACATTATTGTCTATTGGTGTGGACGCTTATATAGTTATTGTTATCTTTATAGGCATCGTTCCTTTTGTGAACAGGCCTTATGAGACTTAGCCAGCACCGTTAACTGTATATTGGCAAAAACTATGGTTATCATTGTAAAATGTAAAAAATATCCCAGACACCAGCATTTCTCCTGCCCAACCCCACCACCTCCATCTGCACTGCAGACTGTCTGGCTGGCATGACTGTGTTGCTGGATTTACAGCCGCTTGAAATGCGTCACAATGACTTGGGCTCCCATCAACTGGTCCAGAAGGCACGTCTGCATTTTACACCAAACGTCTGAACATGTGCACATCTACTTATCTCTAAACTTGGTTTCTGTTTGTGTCCTTACAAAATACTATGGAAGATAAACATATAATAATGTATGCTTTACTAGGTGATCAGACTAGCAATTTCCATCTTTAAAAAAGGCTTAAAGGGGTGGTTCATTGCGATTTCACTTTTTTAATGTTAGTTAGTGTGTAATGTTGCTGTTTGAGCATAAACAATATCTGCAAAGTTACGAAGCTGAAAATTCAATGCAAACGGAGATATCGTCTTTTAAAATTCTGGCAGTTTAATGCCTACAAAA